AGAACCGTCCCAGTCCAACTCATGGCAGGGGTGAGAACCGTCCCGCTACTTGGTCATTGGCTGGGGGTGAGGACCGTCCCAGTCCAACGTATGGCGGGGGTAAGAACCGTCCCGTTACTTTGTCGTTGGCTGGGGGTGAGGACCATCCCAGTCCAACTCATGGCAGGGGTGAGAACCGTTCCGCTACTTGGTCGTTGGCTGGGGGAGAGGACCATCCTAGTCCAACGTATGGCGAGGGTGAGAACCGTCCCGCAACTTGATCGTTGGTTGGGGGTGAGAACTGTCCCAGTCCAACGCATGGCGTGGGTGAGAACCGTCCCGTTACTTGGTCGTTGGCTGGAGGTGAGGACCGTCCCAGACCAACGCATGGAGGGGGTGAGAACCGTCCCGTTACTTGGTCGTTGGCTGGGGGTGAGAACCGTCCCAGTCCAACGCATGGCGGGGGTGAGAACCGTCCCGTTAATTGGACGTTTGACTTGCACTAAGAGTTGTGAAAAATTGGCAATCATGTTTATTGAAAAAGTGGGACCCTGCCTCGTTAAAAACCTTTCCCAGCAAAATCCATTGGGACAAAAACTGGGGAAAGGAAAAGAGTGCAGGAAATGTTACATGGTAGTTTAACTATAATACTTCTTGAGCTTGTCTGCGTTCCACGCCCTGGGGATTGCTTTTCCATCCAGTGTTTCGAAGGAGTACGCTCTTTTTCCTAGTTTGTTTGCTATCCGGTAAGGTCCTTCCCAGTTTGGGGCGAGCTTTCCTTCGCGGGCGTTTTTGTTTCCAACGTCTGCTCGTCTAAGCACTAAATCTTTTTCTGCAAACTTTCAGGGGACAACTTTCTTATTGTAACAACTGGCTGACCTTTCCTTGGAACAACGGTCAGACTGATCAGCATGTTCTCTGAGCTCATCCAGTAGATCTAATGCTTCTTTAAGATTTTGACTGTTGGCGACCTCAGCAACGTGATCTCTCCGCCAAGAGGGTTCGCCAACTTCTAAGGGAATCATGGCTTTAGTGCCGTACGTTAATCTGAAAGGCGTATCTCTAATGGAAGACTGGACGGTTGTCCTGTATCCCTATAGGACGTTATCCAAATTGTCAATCCACGCCCCTTTATGCGCTTCCAATTTCTTCCTGATTCCCTTAGCCAGCATTTTGTTGGCCGACTCCACTAAGCCGTTGGATTGGGGATGTTCTACTGCGGCAGAATGATGTCGGATCTGCAAATTTCTCATTAATTCACGGAACTTAGCATCGGTGAACTGGGTACCATTGTCGGTAATGACCTCTCCAGGGATGCCGAAGCGGTAGACATTACTTCTCCAAAAGAACTTCCTCGCTTTCTGGGATGTAATGCTGGCTAAAGGTTCAGCCTCTACCCACTTGGTAAAGTAGTCTATAGCAACAATCAGCCATTGGACCCGGCCAACCGCCATGGGAAAAAGGACCTAGAATGTCGATTCCCTACTTGTAGAAAGGCCATGGTGAGGTGATTGACGTTAGCTCTCCTGGCGGGGCTTTGTGTACGTCGGCGAACCTCTGGCATTTTTCGCATTTTTTGACGTGCTCGTGGGCGTCGCGCTCCATGGTCGGCCAATAAAAACCAGCTCTCAGTGCTTTCCTTGCTAGCGAGCGCCCGCCCATATGGTGACCGTTGATTCCTTCGTGGATTTCCTCTAAAACATACTGAACGTCGTTGGGGTTCAGACACTTCAGAAGTGGAGTTGAGAGTCCTCTCTTATACAGTCGTCCTTGTACCATGCAGAAATGGGCACTTCTTCGTACTAGCTTCCTTTTGGTCGAGAGGTAGGGCTCCTTCAGACAGGTAATTGACAATGGGCGTGATCCAGGTCTCGTTGGCGACTTCGGCAGCCGTGTCTGAAATGCTCATGACTATGCATGGGTTAGGCAAATTATGTTGGATCACAGAGCGATTGTTACCTGGGCTTTTGGTGCTCGCTAACTTGGCGAGGATATCTGCCCGGGTATTTTCATCCCGCCTGATATGCTCTACCTCAACGCTTTCGAAGGTTTGTATTAACTCTTTGACTTTCTCTAAGTACTTGCATATCAGCGGTCCTTTAGCTTGATACTCACCCGAGATCTGAAATGTCACCAAATGAGAGTCACTGAAGACTTTGAGGTGCTGGGTTCCCATCTCCTTTGATTGAATTAGGCCAGCTATCATGGCCTCATACTCTTCCTGGTTATTTGTGGTGTTGAAGTCGAAGGATAAGGAATGCTCGATAGCCACACCGTCTGGATTTTCAACTATCATTCCTGCCCCTGAGCCTTTGGCGTTTGATGAGCATTCAACATATAGCTTCCATATCGCTGGGAGCGGCGTCTTGACGATTTGGCCATCAGGCTAGGAACTGTGCATCATTTCGGCTATGAAGTCTGTGAGGGCTTGAGGCTTAATGGCGGTTCTTGGCTCATAGGTGACTTTGTACTCCGACAGCTCAATCGCGCAAGACATCATTCTTCCAGCGAGGTCAGGCTTGTGCAAAACTTGGAGGATTAGCTGATTGGTCCTGACGGTGATCGGATGGTATTGGAAATACGGTCTTAACCTTCGTGCGGTGAAGATAAGTGTGAAGGAAACTTTTTCCACCTGTTGGTACTGAAGTTCGGCCCCTTGTAGAACTTTGCTGATAAAGTAGACTGGTTTCTGCCCTTCCTCTCTTGATTCTTTGACTAAGGTTGCGCTGATAGCCTCGGCACCTACGGCGAGGTATAAATACAGCGTCTCACCATTGTCTCGCTTGGCGAGGACTGGTGGGCAAGAGAGTGCTCTTTTAAACTCCTGGAAAGCTTTCTCACATTCTTCGGACCACCGAAAGGTAGTTCCTTTTTTGAGTAGGCCGAACAGGGGGAGAGACTTATGTGCCGAATTTGCTAAAAAATAGGTGAGGGCCATAAGCCTCCCGGTTAACTGTTGAACTTCTTTGACCATTTGGGGGCTTCACATTTCGATAACCGCCTTGCATTTGTCAGGGTTGACCTCGATGCCTCTCTCGGTAAGCATGAAGCCTAGAAACTTGTCGGCGGGTACACCGAAAGTGCATTTGCTAGGATTAAGCCGCATATTGTACTTTCTCAACCTATCGAACACGCCTTAAAGGTCCGATAAGTGTTGTTCTGGCGTTCGCGACTTGGCGATCATGTCATCGATATAAACTTTGATGCTACCGCCAATTAAATCTTTGAACAGTTTATTCATCATCCGCTGATATGTGGCACTGGCATTCTTCAACCCAAAGGGCATCATGGTATAACAATAATTGGCGTTCTAGGAGATGAACGCCTTTTTATCTTGATCCTCCTGGAGCAGTGGGATTTGATTGTAACTAGAGTACGCATCCATGAATGATAGCATTTTGAAACCAGATGCATTATCGACCAACTGGTCGATGCTGGGAAAAGGATAAGCACCCTTGGGACATACCTTGTTCATGTTAGTGTAGTCGACACACATCCTCCACGCTCCATTTGGCTTTTTTACCAATACTGGGTTGGACAACCAAGTGGTGTACTTGATTTCCCTAATGAAGCCGACGTCATGGATTCTTTTAACTTCCTCATCAATGACCTTCTGGGTGTCGGGGCCAAACTTTCTCTTTTTCTGGGAAACAGGCTTTTCTTTGGGGTCCACAGATAACCGGTGGCAGCACACTTCAGGGTCGATGCCCGGCATGTCTGATGGTTTCCAAGCGAAAAGATCTCTGTTGTCTCGCAGCAGTTTGATCAATTTGCTTTTCATTTCTGGGTCAATGGTCTCCCCGATGGTTGTTGTATGATGATCAACATCGCCTAAGACGACATGTTCCAGCGCTCAATCTGGAGTGGGTCTAGCATGTTCCACCCGAGGGTCGTCCCTTGAATCAAATTCTACTAGGAAACATTGGTCATGCTCCTTCCCATTCCTGCTAGGGCTTCCTTCAATTGGCTGGGCTGTTATTTGTTGGGTTGTTGGTTGATCTCTGAAGGTAACCTTGGTCGCTGGTCTCAAGCATATATTGTAGCAGCTCCTGGCTACTGTTTGGTCTCTTTTACCGTTGCGACTTTGTTATCCCTGGCTACAAACTTCATTGCCAAGTGCGGGTGTGATACGCTCGCCTCGAAGGCGGCGAACATCCTTCTGCCAAGAATTGCGTTGTATGTTGATGGGGTGTCAAGCACCAGGAAATGGATGTCGGCTGACCTTGAAGTGCGTGGCGTTCCCATGGATAAACGCAGGTTTATCATTCCGAGCGGCTAGGTAACTGTTGCGTTGAAACCTCAGAGTTCACCTGCAACTGGGGTTAAGTCATTGACTGTAAACCCCAACGCCCTGAAACATGGTAAAAACAAAATGTCAGCAGAACTGCTGTGATCAACAAACACGCGATTGACGCCAAAATTGGTTATTATTGCTTGAATGACTAGGGGGTCATCATGTCCAGGAAGGACGTCGCCCAAACCATTGTAGTCCTACACGATTTTAGGCTTGGTTGGACCCGAATCAACTTGCACTTTGCTGATGACTTTGCCAACTACCGTCAAACATTGTTTCAAGTGTTTCTTCCTGGCGTTAGCTATTTCACTACCTCCGCTCAATCCGCCTGAGATTATGTTTATCACTCCGTGCTTGATGACAGCTGAGTCTTCATCATCTTCCTCCCTCTTCCTCTATTGCTTGGGCTAGCTTGCACTCTGCGGTCTCTTGGAGAGTCTTCTCTTCTGTCACGTTCATGGCGGGGCCAGTAACCGGATTGGTTAGTTCTTCTTCGTTCCAGTGACTTGCTACACTCACGGTGTCGCCTGCCAAAACCGACAGTACGGGCACCTTCACTCGCCCTCCTTTGAGCCCCGCCCTTGATAAGCTCGTCAATCTCATCTTTGAGGTGTCTGCATTCTTCAGTACTATGGTCGTTGTTGCGGTGGAATTTGCAGTATACAGTGACTTCCCTGGTCGGCTGTTGGTGCCGTGGGTTACTCTTGCGCTCTTCTTTGTATTCAGTTTACAGGACGCTGTGTGGTTGGCGTCCTGTGGTGTCACACCCCAAAGGGCGACTGACATATTTGGAGGGTTTGTGACCCTTCCTGCCTTCTTCCACGTGGTCTTTACATTTGCTGGCTCTCTTCTCTTGGTTGTGGGCGTCTTCGACTCGGCTCCCTTTGTCCTCTTCAATCTGCATAAACTCTTGAGCTTTTTTCTTGACCTCTTCTAGGTCGGTAATTTCATGGCGAGCAAGCTCGTAGGCGAACGCTCCTTGTCGCAAGCCTGATAGGAGTATATGCACTTGCACCTTAGGGTCCAGGCCTTGGACCTGCAAAGCCTCTTTATCAAAGCGGTCCAAAAAGGATCTAAGAGACTCCCCTGATTGTTGGCGAATCTTTTCAAGGGAGTGGACGAATTTAGGCACAGGGCGACTGGTTGCGAAATGGGTTTGGAACTTGCCTGCCAAATCATCCCATGACGCAATACTACCAGTTGACAAAGTGGTGTACCATGTCAATGCTCTCCCGCCCAGAAGCGTAGGGAAAGTCCTGCACATGAGGAGATCAGTCTCACCGTGAAGGGTCATCGCTGCTTCAAATTTTTGGATCCATTCGAAAGGATCAGTGTCACCAACATATGTAGCGATATTGGAAGGGCCTTTGAAACCAAGGGGTATGGGGGTTAGACGCAGGATATCAGTTAAGGGTTTGTTGCGTCCTGAAGTATTAGCATTACCCGTAAGTTCGGGTTGTGCGCATGCTGGTTTGGTGGTGGGCGAGGTGCATGTGGGGCTTCAACAGAGTAAGAGAGGGTTGGGGCTTGATGGGCCACATATTGTGGCAGGCCAGGATTCATACATGATCCTTGAGGTTGTGGAACGGCGCATTATGAGGCGGTATTGCGTAACCGTGGAATGGAAAACTAGTAGGGAAAGGTGGGCGGGTAAGGGGCGACCGCATGTGTAAGGTCCAGGGTGATATGGGGCAACCATAGGGATTCGATGATCATTATAAAGATGCACTGGCTGACTTCGGGCCGGTTGTAGATGATAAGCTGGTGGGATAGTTTGTGGGCTGGCGGCGGGAAATGGCGTTCTGAAACGAACTCCTGGTGGTGGCGGTTGAGTTGGGAGTAAGTTCTCTCCTTGGACTTCGCGTATGGCTACACGACGATTCAACTGTTCTACTCTAGCATCAGCTGCTGGAAACTATGGGTCAACAGACTGCAGCACCGGGGGGAGCGCCTCTCCTGCTGCTTGTTCAGCGGGGGCTGAGTGCATAGATGGTGGGGAGTTGGAATGAACTGTTTGCACATGACCTTCAGGGGTAACGGCTCTGGTCTGCTCTGCTCTTCTTGTCGTAATAGCCATGTTTAGCTGCCAGAAAATGAAATGCCTCTCGTAGATCTTTGGTAGGCAAATGGGAATAGAAGTTTATAGCTTCCCACAGACGGCGCCAATGCACCGTTGCGACTATAAGCCCACTATGTTCCCTTTGGGGATGGAGTCACTGTATGGATGATACCCTTAGCATAGGTAGAAACCAAGCTAAGAGGTATTGTTCCAAGTATGAAGCAAGCAATCAACAATGGAGTTAGGTGTGTATATGTGTGACTCAATGTAAATGGGCAGAATAACGATACATAAGATACCTTCTTGGTATATCAAGGGGGCTATTTATAGGAGAAGGTGATGTGAATCTTGTGTGGGTTGGTGAGGAGGGGGTCAACCCTCCTTGGGATCTGCTAAGGGTGGCAGGCGCTGCTGGGCGAGGCAGGCGCTGCTATGATAGCAGCTATGCGCCCCTTGTGTCTGGCGGTGTCAGCGTGCGACAAAGGGCAATTTCCTCTTATAGTATCTGGAGCGGTCGCCTTTGGGGGTTGGGTTCTCAAGACGGGACATTTTGGTGTTTCTCCTAGGGAGTGTCATCGTGTTGTCCTAGGGAGTGTCATCGTGTTGGGGGTTAGGGGGGCTGACATTCGGTAGGACTGACGTGGATTGAGAGTTGAGATTGGGCTTGGGTCTTTGGGCCGCTGAGTTGTTGGGCCATCCGGAACAAGTTCATTGCTTCACCTAAGTCCCTATACTTTTGGAAAACGCTACTTGCATCTTTTAGTTTATGAAGCGTACAAAAGATTGTCAGAATTTTATTTTATTTTTTTAAACGTCTTACTAAAGTTTAATTAGATTTAGTTGAGGAGTTCGAATTTAATTCACCACTAATATATTATCCAAACCTGTGTCACATTATTAAAATGGACTTAACCTTTCATGTTATTAGTATAGTTAAACTCTTTTAATTGTATGAGAATGCATAATTAAATAATAGTTTCAATCCTTTTTATATTTAATTAGATTTTTATATTCATGAACAGTCAAAATCATAATCAATCAGACAGGGCGCCGGTATCAATAATACCAATGACGTAGTTATTATTCCCTTGCGATGCATGAATTTACAACATTTAATTAAGTACCAATTTTTATTTAGTAAAAAAGGAAAAACCATAGTGTAAAATATTTTACTACATAATAAGTCTTCAAATCCTATTAATCGCATTGTTATAAATTGGATCATTAAAAACCCATAATCTATAAAAATAACAAAATAATATTACATTTAGTTATCTTCAAAACACGAATTACCCATTATTTGCACTCATTGAGGATCAAGCTTCAATTAAAACGCATGAAGGCCAACCCAATTCATGTAATTTCGTATCAATAATCTAATCCAAGTAAAGGAGGTGAAAATACACTTGCTTTTTAGGATAGTGTCTTCAGTGGCCAAGGAATAGCACCTATGCATACAGGATCCACTATCATCCAGCACAAGGCATTGAGGACCAGCGAATCTTATCCAATTTTTTCTCAGCTTCATCATCATCACACAACAGTCACCTTTCAAGGAAGTTTATGAATCTACTAAGGCACAGGCTCTGGAAAACTAACATAGTTTCACCATCAACTTGGAGGAAAACTTTCCAATATGTTCTCTATGAGCTGTGATGCTTTCACTGGCTCTGTCACAAAACAGAAAGGACTTCTGCAATGTAACCTAACATAGCAGTAGCTCATGCAGAACATGGACCACCACCACCATGTCCAGAATCATTTATATTCACATTTGAAGATGGATCAATCTCCCCAGAAGACATGGAAGAATCAAAAGGAGTGGCAGTTAAGGAAGATTTTGCATCTGAATATAGTTTTTATATCTACGCGCACAGATTTAGTTGACTCCATCTCAGATACAATAATATTATTCTGTGATCTCTCATGAGCCATATAGTTCACTGGCGCAGCCATATCATCAGAACCTGTACTTACCTGTCCTTGAGGAAAGCTTCCAACACTAATATAGGTTTTGACAGACTGATCCTGATCCAGAGGCAAGCTAGACAATGTATTTTGGGAACTGCAAGTATCATCACAATCATTCAAGGTTATCTCTTCTGTCACTGCAGAGAGTTCTTTAGCTATCTTAACAGCATGTAAATCCCTGTAAGCACCACAGGTTTTCTAGGATGGGAACTTCAACTTAAACCCCTTTGCAAAGTCACTAGTAAATGTTGAACAGGGTTCATTCGCCGCAAAACTGTATGATTATGATTTCTGTACCAATGCATAACACTAAATTTTCAATGAATCCAAACTGGGGCTGTTACCCACAATGTCCAATCCAACAAGACATGTTCAACCATATCTGCATTTGACAAGACAATGCAATTTGAAATTTCAGCAGCAATATCAGTATTTTCCATCTCTGAAATGTGACTAGACGAATCTTTTTGTACAGAAAAATCATCCATGTCCCCATGAGATTGCATGTCAAATAATGACATTCTAAGATGCAGGAAAAGAGCAAGCAGACGGTAGCTCCAATATGTTTGCATGTCCTAAAGATTTTAAGGATATTGATGAAGAGCACATGCAAGTAGATTAAGGGCCACATATCCGTAGTTTCTGCAGCTTCCACAAGAGCAAGGACATGTTCCATCCCACCTATAGGACAGATAGTCTCTCCAATCACACCTTGCTTACTGATGTAAATATCTCCACAGAGATGTCCAAAATGTGGAATACCCTGCAACCCCCAAAATGGCAATAAAACTGAGATTGATTAAACAACTCCAATAGGAAAAAGAAACAAAAGCAGTAACTTTCTAAATTTAGTCACACACATCCAATAGGAGAAGCAGACAATTCCACTCAGGATCAATCAGATTGAGCATTGAAAAGCTGCTTGACAATCAAAAGAATTCTGTAGAAGTTCCATCAAATGCAAAAGTTAAGTTTCATTACAGAAAGCTGTAAAGAAAGGTTTCCAAGTCTCTCCAAATCCCAGACAATTCCACTCCCATCTACCTTTAGATCTCCCTGCTTGCTGGTACTATCCAGTCTCTGACCATTAGCAGCCTAAGTCAAATCATCATCTAATTAATCTAATATGGAAAAGCCCTCTATATCCTCTACCAAGTATATACATAAAACAAATACAGTCTGGTGTAAGCACTTCATTAAAAAGATAGCAAGGACGTAGTTTCCAAATCAAGTCACTAACTCTAGCATTTCCAAGTTCCAACTGACATCCCAATAGTGACCTGAAAAGGTTTACCAGGTGGGGATGACAAATATCCTAATTTCCTAGGGTGTCTTAGCTTTCCATTTAGATAAACATATGCATTACTAGCTTGAAACAGCCCAGCAAGAGCATTTGGTTTGCGGGGAATGACTAACAAGGTGATGCCATCTTCCTTGTTAACTTAAGAGTACATCTGATAGCATTTCACACTGATTTTCACTTTATTTGCATAAGATGACAAGAAATAACCAAGAGGATATCTTTTTGTCACAATATTCAAATCCTAGAACTACACCAACCTGCCTCCGGAAAGCAAGAACATAAGTTTCTAAATATATCATTTCAATCTAGCTTAGGGATGCTGTTGACCATTTGAACATGATAGTGAAGTGATAAAGCTGAACATAAACTACATGATAATAACATATAAACATCAAGTATGAGATCAGCAATGCAAGAAAAGTTCTTTAAAACAAAAAAAAGAAGTATTGATTGAAAAGTTAACGACAGATCATATGATGCTTGCAGATGTATGTGCTTACATTGTCGTTGACCAAAAGAAGACCAAGTATCTAGATCTAGAATCATATAAGCAGCAACAGCATGAATATTCAACCATCAGAGCACAAAATGCTCAAACTACTCAACATAAGCAATATTTATAACATTTTCATCACTATCGTTACTGCAAACAAATGTACCTCCCTTTACCTGCATAGCATGTCTATGAAGTTGTATATATATTGTGCAATGGAACAAGTCCTTCCTTATAACGAGAAAAAATAATCCACGATCCCTTGGCATCCATTTGAAAAAGCAACTGAAGTGACTCATCCTCTATCTAGCTCTGTACTGCTGCTGGATGGCTTGCTAGTGCTTTCACGATCTGCACAACACCTCCCTCTACCTGCATAAGCAAAATAGTTGAAAATGAAAATTAAGAAAGCACACATAACTTGGATTATCCCAATTATTTAATCATAAACAAGCCATGTAATCTATGTTCTATGGTAAGTGATTGGACTAAGAAAATATAAAGCTTATGTAAAAATAACAATTAAGCTAAAGTCTCCAATTAGATGCTAACATATTCAATTTATCAAAGATTTCAGGCTCAAGGTTGTCATAAACAAAGGGGGAAAAAACTCTTTAAAAAAAAAATCGTGTGTCATTCAATTATGTTTAAAAACAGAAACAGATAAACAAGGTGTACATATATCATGGAGTGAAAGGAACCTCAAGCTGGCGGTTTTCAGTTAGATCCACATTATTTCCAGTTCTTTCATTTCTCCTTTATATTTTCATCCAGCATCTGAAGAGCAGAACCTCTTCTTTTACTGCAATTCCCAAAATTTAAAAAAAGCATAAAACCTTCATTGTTCCTTTTTTTTAAATAAATTTTTTTCTTCTTAGTTTTCATTTCCCCATAGTTTGCTTCATATTTATTTTTAGTTTTACTGTAGCCTCAAGCCTGTTTGCCAGTAATGCCTTACCTATCAAACAACATTATATTGTCTAAAATTTATCATTGCTCATCTAACATCCCAAGGCCCAAAATGCAGCCACAAAATCAGATCAATAATTTGTCATCTTCTGATTACTTATCCATCCATCATTAGCACAGAGAAATGATAATAGCACCAGTGAAATTGAAGAAAGCATACCTTAAACTTGCTTCATTACAAAAATTTACAATGTTTGTATTGTGTCCAGGATCAACCAAAAGCAGCATATTGTGGGGGACAAAATTCATTTGCATCTATCATCAGTGTTCTAAGAAGACGAGGATGAATAATGAAGGCATCACCCGTTAACTACTTTTTCAGACCTATTTTGAGTACAGAATTCCTTATACAAATCAAAACTTTTTTGCCATTTAGACATCTGTCTCTTCAATAGATCGTATACCTTTAAACCCTGGGGTTCAAGCTTCTTCACAGGAGCATCAAACCTCAACTCAATAGGGCAAAGATCATCAAATATCTCTTGCCCAACAGATTCAGTCTGCTCAATGGACTTCTTCTCCGGAATATGAAAAATAAATGTATCATAAATTTCATCACTACAAACAGAATTTCCCAGTACAAGATCTGGGGCACTGCAACTGAATGCAACCGGACGGTATCTATAAAAAGATTTTGGTTTTGAAGAACCAACCCATGTTTCCTCTCCATCATCAGCAAGTGAGACTGCATGATCATCAAAGTGCATAGAACCAACAGGTGAAACAGCAATCTCAGCAGCCACCCGCCTAACTTCTTTGTATTTGAGGTCAAGCTCTGCTTCGATGGAAAATTTACCTCCTTCCAAATCTGAGCACCCATTTTGAAATTCATTAAGCACAAGTAGAACAGGAAAAGGAATAACTGGACCTACAATGCAATCATTGCTGTGAGGTGAAGATTTCCTTAAAAAGAACGGAGGCAATTGAGGAAGGTTTGGAACAGCTAAAAATTGCAAAGCTACACTATTTTGGTCTGGGTCTGTAACAACTTCACGACATTCAGAATAACTAAAAAATGCCAACTGTAATAGCTCCAACGGCAAGTCAGCCCACAATCTTCTTAAAGCAACCTCATGGTAGCTTGCTGGTAGCTTGACATCTTTAAAAACTGCAGTAATTGCAGGACATGATCTTGATTGGCCAAATCCACAAGCATTTAATTTCTCACACAATAACTCATGCACTTCTGTACCAAAAGGTTCCTTGTCCTGAGCATCTCTACAGGTATCATTTAGTTTTGTAACTAGGAATTGAGTAAGATTACCACTAGCATATGCATAAAGACAATTGAATTTTAAGTAATTAAAAACTTTAGAAAACTTGTATTTCTCATCACTCATGGGATACAAAAAGTGTCGGTCCAAACATAATTCTTGTTCGAGGCAATCTGCTAAGTTTCTAGCTGGAGCCCAAGAGGCATGATATCTCTGCAATTCAAACTTTCCTGAGGACATTAGCCTTACCAGAGTAAAACCACCATGTTCATTTGGTTCACAAAGTAAGGCAGCAAGGTCATTGCTTAAAATGCCAAATCCCAAAACTATCTCTTTCTTTAGCTGCCAATCAATCCACTCAGGAAGAGCATCCTTTGACATCTCTTTCCTTAAGAGACAACTTCCACAATGACACTCGCAACTAGATAAATTGATCTCAAATGGAAGCCCCCAAGCACAAAAGGTGGTGTTAATCTTCGAAAGCTTCAAAGCAATAGATCCTTTTTGAAATGGCAATGAATGTCCATAGCAGAAGATATTGATCTCAGAATTCCAAAACGATCCCAATAAAATGCAAAATCCAGATTCAGAAGCCAACTTAAAAGTATTTTCCCTTGAGTGGGACCTCAACAAAGACAAGCTTAATGCAGTTATGTAGCATGGTTTGTCAATACCATGCACCCATTGTAATACTGGCATCAAAGGCTTTCTTACATCACATAGAAGTAAAAGACTGCTAGAAGCCACAGTAAAGAAGAAGTTCTCAGGACCAGCCCTTGACAAGGCAAGAAACTGCTCATTTTCATTTGGAGCATACATACGCAATGTCTCAATTTTCATTAGGCAACTCACATTACATTCTTTTAATCTCACGTCAACTAAAAAAATGGCATCAGATCGTGCAACAATCAAAATCCTTGGGTGCCAACTAAATTCACAACTCAGCCATGCCATGTTTTCAGAAATACCCAAATCATTCCATGAAACTCTCAACCTAGTCCCCTTGAAACTCGCACTTGAACTATGAGACTCCAAATCAAACAAGAATAACTGACCACTTTCTAGCAGAACCAGGCTTTCTTCCAATATATGAGGACTCCAACAAGCATGCACAACAGGGCAAGTCTTGAATACTTTACCACCAAGATAAAACACATTGGGCCTCTCCAAAATCAAATTGTGCTTCACAGCAAACCAATGAACAGAATAGAGCGTAGAAACCAACAAATACCCAATAACAGGGGAAGGATTATCTGTCAAACAAGAGATTCCAAGACCAAAATCAGCAACTGGGTTCAGTGAAATCCTCAAGATTCGGTGTGAGGATCCACTAGCAGCCTGAAAAAAATCGCCATTGCTGTCAAGCTGAATATGCAATTTGGAATCCTTAACATGCAGCATAAAAAACCCAACTTTCTCATCATTGACACCAGTTGGGAAGAAAACAACGACGTTTGGGCAATTGGGGTACTTGAGGAGGTGGATGCGAGTGTGGAGGAAATAGGAACCAGTGTCATTTTCATGGTGGGAAGTAAAAAGGGAGGCAATGGAGGAAGCGGTGGAGGGAAGAACAGAAGAAGGGTCAGAGGAAAGAAGGAAGCGAGAGGGTAAGAGGTGAGGAGGGAGATGAAGAGGGGGCAAGAGAGAGGTTGAAGAGAAGAGAAGGGTGAGTGAGTGAGGATCAGGGTTAAAGAGGAGGGGACCCAGTCCCATTTCAGCAGATTCAGAATCAGATAGAAGAAGGGGGGATACAGTGGATGCACCTATCGGGAAGAAGGGCTTCCATTCATCTGAGAATTCCATTGCAACTAGTACCAACACCAACCAAGATTAAACACTGTTGTGGTAAATAAAGCTGCACAAAAATTAATAGTTAATAAGTAGTTATATGGGTAATTGAGTGGTAAAGTAAAAGTAAACAAGAGCCAGCAATTCGGGCCAATCCGTCTCAACCAGCTTTTAACCCAACAAATACAGGACAGGATAGGTTGATTTGCATTTTATAAAGGGGTGGAAAACACCAAATCATCCCATTTTATGACGGATTGGCGAGTCAAAACACTTAAATAATAAAACCTTAAAAGTTAAAATACAATTGCAATTTAATCAAGCCAATAAAACACATGTATAGTCTTGATTGAAAAGGGAAAAATAGAAAATAAAAGCCAATTGTGGATAAAGAAAGGAAAGCTTCTACAGTAGCCTGACCTCCACACACAACACAAACTGTACACAAAACACATATTTGATTATATTAAAATCCTATGTTTATGTTCTATTGTGTTTAATTAGAAGGACATAGCAACAAAGACATACAGAACATAGCTGCACAGGAGCAAAAGAGCAAAAGATCTTCTCCTAACAACTATTTAATATTTATAGAAGTATGAGAATCTGAACTGTTTATATATAAAAAGAATATGAACAATAAAATAATATACCTAACTTCAAAAGAATATGAACTATCCAGTATGGATCTTCTCATCTCTAAAACTTAGGGGGGGAAATCCATTCTATGTTATACCTAACTTCACTTGAAGTACCATTATAATAGTTAAATGTAAAAGAATACGTTGTGTATTGATATGTGTCAGGGAATTACAATATATAGCGACCCTAATGGGCTTAAGTGTAAGGCCCAAACCTATTCCTAATACAGTCAAACCTAATCCTAATACAGTCAGAATACAGTCAGAATATTTACGGATAAGACAGAATCCAATCATATCTAATCATATCTAATCATATCATATCTAATATTCTAACACTCCCCCTCAAGCTGGTGCGAATATATTATGAGCACCAAGCTTGTTACAAATGTATTCAACCCGAGGACCTCTAAGAGCTTTAGTGAAAACATCTGCTAGTTGATTAGACGAGTTGACAAAAGCTGTCTTGATTTCTCCTGACTGAATCTTTTCCCGAATGAAGTGACAATCAATCTCTATATGTTTGGTCCTCTCATGAAAAACAGGATTAGAGGATATATGTAGCGCAGCTTGATTATCACAGATGAGTGTCATGGGTTGTTTCTGTTCACAAAGATGAAGCTCCTGAATCAACTGCTTTAACCAGATCAACTCACAGGTAGTATTTGCCATTGCACGATACTCAGCTTCTGCACTAGATCGGGAAACAACAGGTTGTTTCTTGCTTTTCCATGAGATTAAGTTTCCTCCGAAGAAGACACAATAACCAGAAGTAGAGCGTCTGTCCGAGGGTGATCCTGCCCAATCAGCATCTGAGTAACCACAAATTTCTGTATTTCCCTGATCCGAATACAACAAACCTTTTCCTGGTGCTCCTTTGATGTATCGGAGGATCCTCACAGCAGCATCCCAATGTGAATCACAAGGGGAATCAAGGAACTGACTAGCCGTACTGACAGCGAAAGAAATATCTGGCCTAGTCACAGTAAGATAATTGAGCTTCCCAATCAGCCTCCGATAACGTCCAGGATCAGATAACGGCTCCCCTTGTCTGGGCAATAACTTAACATTAAGATCCATGGGTGTATCAACTGGTTTACACCCCAACATACCAGTCTCTTCTAGGATATCCAAGGCATACTTCCTTTGACAGATAGAAATGCCCTGTCTAGATTGCGCCACCTCAATTCCCAAGAAGTAACGCAGCTTCCCAAGGTCCTTTGTTTGAAATGCACTGAATAAATGTTGTTTTAACTGACGGATTCTGTCTTGATCACTTCCGGTGATGATGATGTCATCAACATAGACTAACAAATAGATGCACTTGTTAGGAGATGTAATTCTATAGAATACAGAATGGTCAACTTTACTGCGAATCAGGCCAAACGCCTGTACAGCAGAACTAAAGCGACTGAACCATGCTCGAGGAGACTGCTTGAGACCATATAAGGATTTTCGAAGACGACATACCTTCCCAGACTCCCCCTGAGGAACAAAACCAGGTGGTTGCTCCATGTAAACTTCTTGTAAATCACCATGAAGAAAGGCATTTTTTATGTCAACTTGAAGGAGTGGCCAGTGACGAACAGCAGCAAGGGCAAGAAATAGGCGGACGGACGCCATCTTAGCGACTGGAGAGAATGTATCGCTATAATCAAGACCAAATATTTGAGTAAAACCCTTGGCAACTAGGCGTGCCTTGAGACGATCAACATGGCCATCAGGTCCAACTTTCACAGTAAACACCCAACGACAACCAACTATAGACTTCTCTGGAGGAGCAGAAACAAGGTCCCAAGTGCCATTGGTATGAAGTGCGGTCATCTCATCAAGCATCGCTTGGCGCCATCTGGATGGCAAAGTGCTTCACCTGTGGTCTTAGGAATAGAAACAGAAGAAAGACTAGAAACAAAGGTGAAATGAGGAGGAGAAAGACGATCATAGCTCAAGAAGGTATAAAGAGGATAAGGGTTACGAGTAGTACGTGTACCTTTTCTTTGAGCAATGGGAAGAGCCTCTGGTGAAGGATCCGGAGGGGAAGAATCAACTGCAGGGGGCAATGAGTCAGCAGGGGTCGAGTCGACTGGAGGTACTGTGTTACGACGCTGATAAGTGAGAAGTGGACGGTTCTCAGGTACTGGAGCAATAGGTGATTGCTTATCTGGAGTAGAAGCAGCTGCATCTGGCAAAGACAAGTCAAGAAAAGGAACAGGAAGAACATGATCAACCTGTGACAATGGAGATGGGATAGAATTAAAGGGTTGTTGATCAAGAAAGGTGACATCAGCAGAAACTAAGTAACGCTTGAGATCAGGAGAGTAACAACGATAACCCTTTTGAAGACGAGAATAACCCAGAAAAATGCATTTAAAGGCTTTGGATGTTAACTTATCCTTACCAGGAGTGAGATCATGAACAAAACAGGTACAACCAAAAACATGTGGGGATAGAGGAAAGAGAGGAACATCCGGAAACAATAAGTTATGAGGAATATCATTATTAAGCACAAATGAAGGCATGCGGTTGATGAGAAAGCAAGAAGCAAGGACTGCATCAGCCCAGAAGTGAAGAGGAACATGCATGTGAATAAGAAGAGTCCTGGCAATCTCAATGAGATGTCTATTCTTACGTTCAGCTACTCCATTTTGTTGTGGAGTGTGAGGAAAAGTGGTTTGGTGTAAAGTACCCTGTGTGGCTAAGAAATGAGAAAAGTCAACAGAAACATATTCCTTAGCATTATCACTACGTAAAATACGAATAGAAGCACCAAATTGAGTATGAATTTCAGCAGAAAACCTTTGATAAATAGAAAACAACTCAGATCGGTTTTTCATTAAATAAATCCAAGTACAACGGGAGAAATCATCAATAAAGGTAACAAAATACCGAAACCCTAAAACAGACACACTTCGACTAGGACCCCAAACATCTGAATGAATAATTGAAAAAGGAGCATCAGCTCGCTTATTGACACGATTAGCAAAGGAGGAGCGGATGTGCTTTCCTTGCTGACATGACTGACAATCTAAAGTTTGAAGACCGGATAAAAGAGGAACCATCTTCTGCAATTTCGCAAGACTAGGATGCCCAAGACGACTGTGGATGAGTTGTGGAGATTCTGTGAGAGAACAAGCAACTGAAGGACTCGGCACATCAAGGTAGAAGAGACCCCGTGACTCACGGCCCACTCCAATCATTTTCCCCGTACCCGGGTCCTGCACAGAAACAGATTGGTTTGAGAATGTGACAATACAATTAAGAGAATTGATCAATTTACTAACAGGTATTAAGTTATAAGGGATGTGAGGAATGTAATAGACAGATGTCAAGGTCAATGAGGAGGTTGGACAGATTTGTCCAATCCCATGAACGGGGGGCCTTAGTTCCATCAGCAAGAGTAAAAGAGGGTAAATTTTCAGAATATGTAAGGGAAGAAAAGAGTTCCTTATTACCACAGAGGTGATCGGTAGCACCTGAGTCAAATATCCAAGGACCAAGTGATGCAGAATGAGAAACACAAGCAACAGGATTACCAGTTTCTGAAGCGGAGGCCTGAGATTGAGGAGAGGACTTCCTGAGAAGGGCCTGGAATGCTACATATTCTTCAGAGGAGAGAGAGACTGTACCATTTGAAGCAGTATCCGATTGAGCTATATTAGCAGCAAAAGAAGGTCGCATGTGAGGATACTTTGTGTAGCAGCGTTCCTCATAATGACCAAGTTGCTGACAGTAATGACAACGAGGTCGCTGACCACGTCCGACTGGACCTCCTGGGCCACAACCTCCTGGGCACAGCCTTCTGGGCCTCTACCACGACCACGTCCACCTCCAATATTCCCGCAAAAATCAGTACGGGAAACTAGAGCAGTAGAATCAACAGCAGAAGACGATGCAGGAGCAGATTTCTTATTCAAATTCAGAAGACGCTGATACGTCATGGATAGATCAGGCTCCCCACTAGTCAAGATAGTATCACGGACATTATCATATTCTTCGGGAAGGCCAGAAAGTGTGGCAACCATAAAGAGACGTTCCACTTGTTTCCGATATGCAGTAGCATCAGTAGGGTATGGCAGCATATCCAAATATGCCTGCATCAAAGAGCCACTCTTGCCAATATATGTCTCCATCTGAATGTCGGATGATTTGCTCAATTCCATAAACTGGGAGATGATGAAATAGAGTTGCTGAACATCATTAGTGTAGAGGTTTTTTGCTTCCTCCCATACTTCAGTGCAAGTTTGAAAGGAATAAAAGATATCCAAGACGATCGGATCAATGGATTGCCAGAGGATACTCAGAAGCTGGTTGTCAATCTTTTCCCAATCAGACTTGTCCTCCTTAGGGACATCAGTAGACTTAGTCATGAGATGGTTCCCATATCCTTGTCCAAAGAACCAAACTCGAACAGAGGTGGCCCAATTCTTGTAATTAACAGATCCCTTCAATTTTGAAGAGGTAATGGACCCAATATTGGTAGAGATGATATTGGGAGAATTTCTCACAGGAGGAGATGCAGACTTGACCTCCGAATGAATTGGAGGGTTTGCTGCCATAGTATTAAATCACAAAGATATAAACCGAATAAAGAGAAACGAACCTGATCACCATTCAAGAAGAGGTGCGCACAAAAAGTCAGACCCACAAAGAACCAACCACAGATCCAGAAAGAGGAGGAGAAGACGAGCTTCTCTGTCCAAGACCGGCCGGAAAAAGCCGCTGGAATAGTGCTCACGCGCCGATAGAAGGTGGCGCGTGAAGCCCACGCGCAGAGAAGACTGGAGGCGCGTGAGAGCGCGTGACAACTCCGATGGTGGCCGGACTTCCACAGATCAGGTCGCCGGGAGGAGAGAGTGCTGTTTGCGTTCGTTCCAGTCTGAAAACTCGCCAGAAAAGTACTCCGGCAGCCTGAACAGTGGCTGACGGTGGCTCTGGTGACTGTTTGGGGATGTGGACACGTGCAGAAGATGCCTGGAGAGGACTTACAGTCCTTGATGTCTTGCCGGAAGGACGCACGGCAAAGAGAAGATGACTCCTAAGCAGTGGGCTTAGGTTTTAAAGCGAAGAACAAGATTTCTAAGCGGAAGCGAGGGTTCCCAGAACGAAATAGCTCTGGTACCAAGTTAAATGTAAAAGAATACGTTGTGTATTGATCTGTGTCAGGGAATTACAATATATAGAGACCCTAATGGGCTTAAGTGTAAGGCCCAAACCTATTCCTAATACAGTCAAACCTAATCCTAATACAGTCAGAATACAGTCAGAATACAGTCAGAATATTTACGGATAAGACAGAATCCAATCATATCTAATCATATCTAATCATATCATATCTAATATTCTAACAATAATCAACGAAAGATCAACTTTTTGAAAAGTCTGTCTATTCATACAACTATTTGAGACAAGAGATATCCATCAATTCCTTATGCTAAGTTTTAATATAGGTCTACAAGATTGGAACTCTTAGTTAAACTATGCAAGCACAAGTTATTCGTATGAATATACCGCATCGAATTTAATGATCTCTCAATAGAACTATAAGAACATGTAAAGCTCAGCCAGAAACTCCAACTTTGAACCAAGACTAAGATATCTACATTTTCTTCCCTACGAACAAAAGGTGGTGCAATTCCAAAAACAAGAAAACATCAGTATCCTCAGTAGTCTTTGAATGCAACCAACTCCCTTTCTGGCCATTTAAAAAAGTGTTACAATTCGCAATTGATTTCATTTGACATCAATATCTATGGTATTGTCTAACATATACCGTTCTAACAGAGGAAGGAAAAGGGAGGTGTCGGGTCATGTAGGAAAAAAAAATACATAAATCTTAGGGACATAGAAAGCCAAAGGATACTTTTTTCAATCTACTACTAACAAAATAGATGCAAATTACATAATCAATTAGGTGGATGAAGATATAGTTGCCAGGTAAGTCTCACATAACCAAACAAGCTTTCAGATGAAACAAACAAGGGAATTCATGATGGTGGGCATTCACAAACACTATAGAATAAAGTCAAACAAGTAATGAGGTTTAATTTGTCCAAGTGTGGCACCCATAGTACTTTTATAAATAAATTACCTAGTCACCATTACTCAAAGCTATTAAGGTATTAACTAACTATTCCCAACTCAAGTTGCGGAAAATCTTTTTAAAACTATGCATAACTTACGTTTCCTTGTTTCTTATGTTTTAAACTTTCATGAGATTGTTAACGGATTTTTTTAGAATATGCCCCAAACATTGATGCTCTTTGATGGTTAGCTCCTCCATTAACTATAATATTGTCTCCTAAAAAGAAAGAAAAAAAGTTATAAATTTCTCGCAATCTTGAAATCTGAAACTCTCTTTATTGAGATATCCTCCAATTACATTACATTATTGAAAATGATATCTCATCTTAAGTTTAATCAAAGAAAAAACATCATATAAAAAAAAGAGGAAGCCTTCGATATCAAATACAAAAAAAAGAGAGTTAAAAAAACAAAAAACAAAAAAGGCACGCAAGTAACAGCATCATATAAAAAAAACATCATCATCATCAAAAAAAAAAAAAATCCTCAAAGTAGAGGGAGTGAGTTAATAATATAAAGGATGTTTATGGTTTTAAGGAAAAAAAGAAAAGAAAAAGAACAGAGCTAAAAACCTTAGAACAGAAGTTACAGAACAGTGAGAGAGGGGGAATCACGAAGTTACAGAAGTTGTCGTCTGTCGCAGGTCGCTGGTCTTCGCAGGTTGCAGGTCACAAACGAGTCACGAAGAGGTTTCGTCGAAGGGAAACCCATCAACAACACAACGAAGCAAACTCATCCATAAAAAAGAACAACAACGCTCGTGGAGTAAATCTTTATTTTCAAAAAGATTTCTTTTCTGTCTATAACAACGAAGTTTTTATAAAACTAGGGTTTACCATTTATATTTTTTTTTCAAAAATATTTTTTCGCCACAATTACATATAAAATACTTTTTTTTAGAAATAGACAGAGAATATTATACATGTATTTTCTCAAGCTTATTATATTTATTCCTTTCTAATATTATTATATTGTTGAGATTTTAATCTAAAAATATTAGAAATAAATGGGTAAAATATACATAAAAAAATAGGCATAATATCTTATTATTTTTTAAAGCCACAAATATTGACTTAATAAAAAACCACAATAGTGAAATTTTGTTCGACTTAACTCGAAGGTATAGTAGCTCAGTTGGAAGGTTGATTGAGCTTAAGAGGTCGGATTCTTGTGACCGATGAGGTCATGTGTTCGAGGTTTAGGAGAAGCATTTTGGGGCCGTGGTGAAGTCCAATGACACTCCCAAGCCACGAAAGGATTAATCTTATCCTATGAGGTAGGGACACCCTGAGTTTACTTAAAAATAAAAAATTGTTCGACTTTTGTTTTTTTATTTAAATACTTGTTTAAAATGCTAGGAGAAGCATTTTAGGGCCGGTGGTGAAGTCCAATGACGCTCCCAAGCTACGAAGGGATTAATCTCATCCTACGAGGTGGGGACACCCTGAGTTTACTTAAAAAAAAAAAATTGTTCGACTTTTGTTTTTTTATTTAAATACTTGTTTAAAATGGGAGGTAGATTGTAGTTACAATATGTTAATTCTATCTACTTATCTCTGATACTGTTATATCACAAAAGAAAAGGAAAAAAAATAATAAAAATTAAATGAAATTATGATCTAATAATATTGAATATTAGCAGATAAGATAAGGAGTTTGCATTTGTCATTTAACATGACACAACAAACTTTCTTACATACATAATATTTTGTGGGGCCCACACTTTTTGAAGAAAAAAGAAAAAAGAAATTACGACACATAAAGCAAATCTCTATAACATTACACAATCATTTTTCCTGCGACATAAAATAAATATAAAACAACATTTCCGTCTTATGGGCCTGGTTAACCATAATGGGACGCAACAGCTTTATTTCTTTATAAGCATTTGAGTCATGAAGCAACATTTCCTGTATTTATTTGTTAACTGCTTTATAGTTTTTTTCTGTTGACAAGTCACTTGATCTTTTTGACTCTTTAGCTTCTTTGTTTTGCTTAGCTTAAGACTTCGGATTGTTTTATCCATTATTCCTTCTTCTTTTTTGGTTAAATTATCCATTATTCTTTGTGAACGAATGACAATGACTTACAATTAACTATAATTTAAATAAGTTAGTTTTTTCTTAAATATTATGGGGGCAAAATACTAATACCAATACATGTCCTCACCTTAACTTATGACATTATAGAAGTTTGGGGAGAAACAAAAAAAATATGAACAAATAATTAATTAATTCTAGACAAACACCTCTACTTGCCCACACAACATGTAATATTTGTTAGAAGATCGGAGCCCACGTTGGTGGGTCTTTAGGATGACAAAGCCGCTATAAACAAAGGAGAAAATATTTATTATTTTAAAGGATATAGATTTATGTTATTTTAAATGAGAGAAAGATATAAATTAATATTTTTATTTAAAATTCAAATTAAAAAAAACCACTCATTATAAAGGTGTAAATGAGCTGAACCGAGTCGAGTCAAGCTTATGAAAAATATTTTGAGCTTAACTTGGCTCATTAGCTTGGTATGAGCTAAATTCTAGGCTTAACTTGTTTATAAAAAATTAAAGGCTTGGTTTGACTCATTTATAATTATAAAATATATTTTTTCTAAACTCACATACGTTCAAATATTGAGATTATAAATGCATCAAATTCTGTATTCCTACGTTAGAGAAAAAAAAATCATAGAACTCACTCAGTACACATATTTTAAGATCGAATAATGAGTTTCGCAATTTCTTCTTAAATATTGATCCAGCTCATGATGACTTAATAAACCAAGAGAATGTGCAATTGGCACCGCTTGCAGTGTAGAAAAAAAAAACAACGACTTCACTGCTAAGTTTATTATATTATATTATAATCTTCAAAGAAGAATAGAGAAAGAAAACCAGAGTTTGGTCAGCTACTTGTGGAGTTAAAGACAATAGTAAAAAAATAGAGTTATGATTTAGTGACATAAAAATATATTATTTATTATAAAATATATTCGGCCAGCTCATTGACTTTCAAACCAAGCCTCGTTAAATTAGGCTTGAGCTTGTTTGCTAAACAATTTTTTTTTAAAGCTTGAGCCCGTTCTATTTATTAAACAAGTCAGGCCAAGCCAAGTTTAAAACAAGCCAAGTCTTAGGTCCTTAACAAGCAGTTTGGCTCATTTACACCCCTACTCACTTTCTCTCTCATGATTTCCATTACTTATATATTTCTCTCACTAAAAATGACACAACTCTATATCCTTTTAAAATGAAAAAAATCAAACCCATAAATAAAAGCACCCCTCCCTCATTTCCATTCATACCAAAAAAATCTTCTTCTTTTCTTTTTTTTGGAGTTACCCAACCCTAATTACCTCTTTGAGGCGAGTTAGCTCCCTCCGGTATTTTCACAAGCTTCGACTCTTTGAGCCAGCTATGAGACTAATCTGGAGTGCGGGGGTCAGTGATGGCTAAAGGTTCAGCCCCCTCCCCAAGAATGCATTCAGCGGGAATCGAACACAAAATCTCCTTCTTCTATATATTCTCCAAAGCGGGTTTTGTGAGGGATAAAAATATTCTCTCCTTGTAATTAAAGAGAAATTGTAATTTTGGGGTTTTGCATAATAGTAAAAATTTTCTACTTTTGCCTGTGATTTTTTTTCCTTTTTGGTTTGTGGATTTTGCACGTTAAATATATGTATTCCATTTATTGCTTTTATTTATCTGTTATTATTTTTCTGTTTTATGGGATTTAATTTCCTAACAATATATAGATCTCTGCTATTGTATATTAGTATAATTTAGTCGTTACTATGCACGTCTGGAATTTGTTCATACCTAGGAAACTTATATAACTCATTGTTTGTTTTCTTTCAAAACTAAATAATTTTATTAGTTCAACTATCTTTAGTTTAGTATTTATTATAGGGAATAGATATATTGACAAAGTAAATAGTTTACAAATGTTTACAAACAATTAATAAACGTTAGATTAATTGTTTCGTCGACGGTTCTGATTTAATTTCTCCATTTCACAAGTAGCTTCCATTTCACGTCTAACGTCTACCACACTTTCCTTTCCCGCTCTCTTACCATCTCCGCTCAAGCCTCCGGTAGATTGTCGTCTGCGTCCACGTCACTCCATCGCGACCATCTGCCATCGCCGTCTCAGCCCTCTGTTTGTGACCCACCATCGTTGCGCCAGCCCTTGTGCTCTTTTATTGTCGGAGGCTGACCTTGCTGTTGGCGTTTTCCACCTGCGCGTGGAATGATATATTGAGTCGACCTTGTTGCCGCCATTACAGGACCTGTGAGTGAGGCAATTTGATTGGAGTTTTCATCTGTTAACGTGGGTGATTCGCCATTTTTTTTCTCCTTTGATTTTTTTTTCTTTTTTTGGGTTTTATTCTTTTTAAGTTTCGATTGTTGAAGACTACCAAATATAATGAAAACTCCTAACAAGTAGTCTAGCATTTACATGATTTGATAGTCGACCAATTATTTCGTTTGTGTCTTAACATAATGGATGCCATTAAACCTTAAAACGGTGAAGTCTTGTTTATTTCAATTACTTTTATCAACTTCAAGTTAATCAAACACTAGAGTCTGTACTTCAATAATCATAAGTTTCTCGTTCATTTGTTTTTCTAAGATATAATTGTTGTTTAAATTTTTTTTGTACCTATGCTTTCAGTCAAATGTATAAATGATGAGTACTGCTACTAACTTAAGGCATAGATATTGAATGCTTGGTTTTTATATATATGTGTAAAAAAAAATTGAAGACTACAAATAATTATGTCAAGCTATGGAAAAGAAAGTATGATATTACTTCTGTTAAGACCCATTATTTTGTAGTTGTTAATGGACTTCTGGACTCTTATTATATTTTTGTATCAATACAGGGTGATTGATCTATAAAATGAAAATATGATAGGAAGCAAGAACTCGCTACATTATCTATTTGGTGCATTGATTCTCTCTTGACTTTACATTTTTTTATTCATGTTATATTAGTTTCTCCCATATTACTTATGTTATTAAAAATATAAAATGTAGAAGATATGACCACTAATCAAGCCACTTCAGCGGATGAGGATCCAATAAGTTATATTGACTGCAGTGAAGATTGCATTCCAAATGACTTATCTAATGAAATGGAATATGGTGAAATCAAAGATTCCAGAAATGATGAAATAGAAGATGATATACCTAATGACTTGTCTGATAATAAGTTTAATGCCATTCTACCATCACCAACAAAGAGTACTACTGTTGTGATTGAGGTTGGAATGAAATTTTCCGAACAAAAGGATATATTAGACTTGTATACAACATTTGGGAAGGCAAACGGTTTTGGAATTCGGAAAAGAACATCCAACGAGAACTACGTGATGCTAACATGTGTTAGAGAGGGTTATCATCAACCGAGAAAGGGAAAAGATGTGTGTGAATTGTGTGCAACCAAACCAAGGTGGACATCATCATCACGTATGGGGTGTGAAGCTTGTCTCAAGGCTTCTAGAGAGAAAAAAACAAAAATGTGGAAAATCACATATTTCATTGACAAGCATAACCATGAGATGGTTACTCCAAAAAGTGTTTCATATTTGAGATCACATAGAAAAATGCCCGATGCTGCAAAATGTTTGATAGAAGAATTCAATAACGCGGGTTTGCCTACTGGAAAGGTGGCCACTATCTTCAAAAGCCATGATTTAGGGTTTGACAGTCGAGATTGTTATAATCATATGAAAAATGTGAGGAGAAGGGTATACGATGTCGGGGATGCACAAGCTGTGCTACTTTATTGTATTAAACAACAATCACTGAATCCTAGTTTTTTTTATTCTATTATGTGACGATGATGATCGGATGGTTAGTTTTTTTTTGGATTGATGCAAGATCCAGGCACGCCTATGAGCTTTTTGGGGATGTCATCACATTTGACACAACATATAGGACTAATAAGTATTCCATGCCATTTGGACCCTTTGTCGGTGTAAATAATCATTTGCAGTCCCTCTTATTAGGATGTGCTTTATTACACGATGAGACTGAGGATAGTTTTGTATGGCTTTTTGAGGAATGGCTTCGAGCAATGAATGGAAAACATCCAGTTGCCATAATTACTGATCAAGTATGATCAATTTATTGCATTGGTTATTATGTTTTGTATATTATCTCAAATATGACTACTTATTAGTGATTGCATACTTACTCATGTTATTAAATTTACAGGACTTGGCGATTAGCAATGCAGTCTCCAAAGTTTTTCCAAATACGAAACACAGATTTTGTTTGTGGCATATCATGAAAAAGTTTCCAGAAAAGTTATCTCATCTCTACCATGACCACGCATCATTTAAAAGGCATTTGAATGACTGTATTTGGAGCTTCAAGAGCACTCAAGAGTTTGAAGATAGATGGCAAAGATTTCTTATTCAGTATGGTCTTATTGAAAATGAGTGGTTGAATGTACTTTATATAATTAGATCCTCTTGGGTACCAATCTTTAACCATTCCACTTTCTTTGCTGGTATGAACACTACTCCACGTAGCGAAAGTATAAATTCATTTTTTGATGGTTTTGTTACATCTGGCACAACTTTAAAGGAATTTGTGGAGAAATATAACCAAGCAATAGATGCTCGCTACGAGTCATTTAAAAAAGAAGACTTTGAATCTAGGCACAAAGAAAGGATTTTGACATTTAATATGCCATTGGAGGAGCATGCTGCTAAAGTGTATACCCGTGCAATTTTTTCAAAGTTTTGCGATCAACTTTCTCTTAGTTTACGATTTTCTAAGGAGAAACTTGGGGATGATTGTGAGTGGGTTATTTACCGAGTTTTTAACAGGAAAGATGTAGAAGATTATGCAACAGTTGAGATGAAATTGGAAAACAGAGAAGCTAGGTGTTCTTGCCATTATTTTCAGTTCATGGGAATCTTATGTCGGCACATGCTTGCTATTTTTCTTATTGAAAATGTTGAACAGATTCCTGAACACTTCATTCTGCAGCGTTGGAGCAAGGAAGGAAATGTGATACCAAGCGGAGAGAAGGACAAATGTACTGCAAATGGAGATAGACTTCTTCGCAGCTTTCATCTACGCTCTAGATATTCCAAACTTGATGACCTTGCATATAAGTCAGATGAAGCATTTAAATTAATTTGTGATGGTATTGATTCTCTCTATAAAGCTGCAGAAAAAGTTCTAGCGTGCGAAGAGAGTAGTGGTCTTGGGGATTCTAATTTACAGTTGTTGAGTTTTCATCATGAAGAGCCTTCTATGATGTACTTGAAGGATCCAAATATTTCACAAACGAAAGGGCGGAAAAGGGACTCAGAAAGTACTTCACAGGGACACAGGATTCGTAGCGGGATTGAAGAAGCATCAAAGCATACTAATATTTGTGGCAATTGTAAGAAGCGGGGACATAATAAACGCACATGCAAAGAATATATAGATGCAATACATTCAATGTTGAGCAAACAACATTGATCTGGTGTTTTGTAATATCAAGTACATCTGACAACCATGATTTTTGAGTCTGATTTTGACATGGATATGGTCTCTTTTTGTGTTGCTAAGCTTTGCATGTAAGTGTAGCTTAATAGAGTAAAACAAAAAAAAGTTCACTGTTTTGCTGTCAAGAAGTCCAACTATGCTGAGAAAAGAATTATTTCTTGTGACAGAGGATGATGGATTTACATCAAAAGATGGTGCCAGTTTTTGGATACCCACTACCTTGTGTTGCTAAGTTTTGCATTTCAAGTTGTCAACTTCATGATTTTATTGCAACACCATCAGATAGAATGCCTTGTAAAATCTTATATCTTTTCTTAGTGACTAGTCATCTGAATGACCAATGTTCAGAATTTCTAATTACTGCTTTAATGTGTTGCCATGTTACAGCTTAGAAACATGGGCGTTTGATATGTCATTTTCCTGAGTTGTTGTCAATGATCATCTATACTTTTCTCCTCTCCAGCCTTAATACAATTGGTATGTTTTGGATGATACCATTTGGAGTTAGTGCTACAAAAAGGTCAGTCTTTCATGCTGAAATGTACTGCTTATATTTTATTAGTATCAAAAAATTAATAACTTAGATAATACATTTTTTCATTTATTGAGGAACCTTATGTTTATCTTCATATGTAAACTTACCTTAGCTAATTCTTTGATTGTGAATACGCGTCATCTAGACGATGTGGTTGGCAGAAGCTTGGTGCATTGTCAATCTAGGATCTTATTATCTTGTGGGAGTTCCTTTAGCAGTTGTGTTTGCTTTTATCCTCCATATGAATGGGTGGGTAAGATTTAACCATTGTGTTATCAAGTTCCTGTTCTGCCTAATTGTAAATGTGTTCAACTGGGGCTAATGCTTTTGAAATTATCTTGATTCTTCATATTACAGGGGTTATTTTTGGCAATTGTAGTAGCACTTATAGTAAAAGTGGTGTGTTTTCTTCTAGTCATATTACACACCAATTGGGAGAAAGAAGTAAGTTATCTTAACATCAACTCAATTTTGTTAGCAACTTTAACTCTATTATGTTATTATCTTCATTGTTCAGGTAACATGTTCACCAATTGGCAAGCCACAAGTGATGTGTTAAGCTAATGTCCTAAAGGGTGAGAGGGCTTTTGGAGCTTGCGTTAATTTTCTACAACATATTATCAAGCCACAAGTGATGTGTTAAGCTAATGTCCTAAACTGCCATCGAGCCACTGGCACTGTAGTAGCTAGTTTCTAACTTGTTGTATATGCAGTGTGTTTAGGTTCAACACAACTGTTTATATTGTGGGTTATATTTTAAGCTTGCAATGACAACTTTGACATGGTTTTGGAATTCTATTTTCCCAAAGAGATAAGCTAAGGATGACATTGTTGATGTTATGTAAAGGCATTTTATTATTATTTTTCCTTGTTATAGAGAGGGAAGTCTCTGCAGAATTGATTTTAAATATTTTAAATAATGAGCTTGATTTTCAATTGATGGTGAAGTCTTGTAAATTGTTTGAGAAATCAGCTTGAATATAATTGAAACTAAAAAGGTATAGTAGATATTGAATTATCATTAAGGAAGGTGGATGATGTGTCTACTGCTGAAGCTTTCTTGTGTTTAATTTCTGCTGCAGAATCAAGCTTACTTTCATTACCTTCTTTCTAATTTATGACAAAAACCTAAAGAAAAGGAACCTATTTCACTCTCATAAATGCAAAACTTAGTGACTTGATTCAGTACTGATGTCTGTTACATAAAATTACGAGACATTTCATGAAACTAGTCATGAGTTAGTCTGCAATTGTATGAAACTAGTATTGATAATTATTTTAATTAATTAGCTTTTTAAGCTTTCTTAAATTCATTTTAAAAATATGTACTAATTTTAAATTTTTTGTAATACATTAGTTTTTTTGGTCATGTAAGTTAATTAAATAAAATTTTAATAATAATATTTCAGAATTTGACAGATATCAAAATCTTCCCAAAGGAAAAGAATTCCTAAATCCAACAAATCAATAAATTGATAGCTAAAATCATTGTGATTACAAATAACAAAATTCCAGATAACCAAAGTCATTGTGAAGAATCTGACACTACTGCTGCAATAGTAAATGCCATAGCTGTTTATCAAAAAAAATAAAATTGCCATAGCTGTTTTAGGCATTAAGACAGTCTTCCTTAACATTGCTATGAATGGAACAGCTGCATAGATAGCAGCAAAACATGATGGTGAAAATTTCTTAGTATATTGTCTCCATATTGTTGGTGGACACTTGCATTTCATGCCTGGAGGAGGTTGAATAGCCTTTGCAACAAGTGGAAGGATTTTGCTAACTGCGCGTTATGACTTTGCAATTGGGTCATTCTTTGCAGCCACTCATTGCCTTTTGCCTCATGCTTTGATTAACTATCCTGAATATCAATTAAATTAAATACACATCAGGGAGATTGAAAAAGTAATCCACATCATGATTGGAAGTTGTTCTGTTTTACAATGTTTAAAAATAAATATCTTAGTGATTCTCTCCAACTACACAAAGACTTGTTAATTTCTCTTTCCTTATAATAAATAAAATGATGAAAAATCTAGTAGGCCCAAACATATTATTTATAATTTTAAAACCTTTAGCAGAAAATCTTGTAACGAAAAATGATTTGGTCATGGCCAGAATAATATACTTAATGTAATATATACCTGTGAAGAATGTTCTTTTTTGATGATTTGGGCTATCTTTTCTGGTTGTTCCACTTATCAAATAATGAATCAAAACTGAATCCGCCAAATCCAAATGATGATATACTAATAGTTGCTGCCCTTACATCAATGATTGAATTGGGATTTGGGAAGCTCAGCCTGCACTTTCTTTGAATGGATATTTAAGCATAGAGTTCATTTATGTCTCTAGTAAAGAAGTCCATTCTTCAGCTTCAAATCTAAAAGACCAGCAAAAAGAGGGAAAACATGTATAAGAAATACTTCATGAGATTATGGGTAAGAGATATAAAATGTGGAGGAGTCAATGAATTCAATTCAGAGAATTCTTACAAACAAAATTAAATGAAATCTCAAGACTATAAGGTCTAAGCATTTGAAATTAGACTAAATTATTGAAATTCTTGTAGCAGTCAAATCCAAATATACACACACCAATCCGTGAAGTTCACATCAGGATTCAAAACCTAATACTGAACCCATAAGATATCACAGAGCAACATATATTTTCTATATTTTTAAGTCCATGTAAAGAGAAAATTACTCTAAACTTGTCAAAACTTGAACCTTGGACTCCAGTTATCCCAACCTCTTGTCATATAATCAAACAGAAAAGGCTAGCATTAAATATCATTGGTCATTATAGATTTAAGCAAGTTGAGATTTCTCATTTGTCAACTTGCATCAGTTCACAAAATTCGGTGTTCTAAAATCTCTTATCTTTTGCATCCCTAACAGTCAACTCAAGGGCAAATTCCAATTCATTTTCCAGATTCAGCCCCAATACCACAACCCATTTAAAAATTTACACAAAAAAATGAAAGATAAGTATAATAACTTCAACACATTTCAAAAAATTCCTATTAAATTTGAAACAGCTTCAACAATTGAAACTTAAAAAGAATTACAGACTCTAGTATTTGATTACCTTAAAAAGAATTACAGCTTCAACAATCATTACCAACAATCGAAACAACAAAAACAAAAATTTGTGTTCTATGAAAATTAAACAACAATTATATCTTAGAAAAAAAATGAACAAGAGACTTATGATTATTGAAGTACAGACTCTAGTGTTTGATTAACTTGAAGTTGATAAAAGTAATTGAAATAAACAAGACTTCACCGTTTTAAGGTTTAATGGCATCCATTCTGTTAAGACACAAACGAAATAATTGGTCGACTATCAAATCATGTAAATGCTAGACTACTTGTTAAGAGTTTTCATTATATTTGGTAGTCTTCAACAATCGAAACTTAAAAAGAATAAACCCCAAAAAAAGAAAAAAAATCAAAGGAGAAAAAAAATGACGAATCACCCACGTTAACAGATGAAAACTCCAATCAAATTGCCTCACTCACAGGTCCGGTAATGGCGGCAACAAGGTCGACTCAATATATCATTCCACGCGCAGGTGGGAAACGCCAACAGCAAGGTCAGCCTCCGGCAGTAAAAGAGCACAAGGGCTGGCGCAACGATGGTGGGTCACAAACAGAGGGCTGAGACGGCGATGGCAGATGGTCGCGATGGAGTGACGTGGACGCAGACGACAATCTACCGGAGGCTTGAGCGGAGAGGGTAAGAGAGCGGGAAAGGAAAGTGTGGTAGACGTTAGACGTGAAATGGAAGCTACTTGTGAAATGGAGAAATTAAATCAGAACCGTCGACGAAACAATTAATCTAATGGTTATTAATTGTTTGTAAACATTTGTAAACTATTTACTTTGTCAATATATCTATTCCCTTTATTATATATTTTTATGAATAATTTATAATTGAGAAAAATGTTTATCCTTTAAGATAACACAACTTATATCCTTTCACTCTCACAAAGAGGTGGGACCCACAATTTTATTTTATTTTGTCAACTCTCTCTCCCCCTTTATCTATTTCTTTCTCTCTCTTAAAATAACATAACTTTAATATCCAAAAAAAAATATATATATATATATAATTTTACATCCTTTAAAACGACACACACTTTTCCCTTTATAATTTCTTAAAATCTTCCTGATCATTACTAAATGAATTTAGTAGTGAATAATTTTAATGTTTATAAGATATTAAACTTTTTTTGAGTTAAAACTCACTATCATTTGTTATTTAATACTTTATTATAACACATACTCATTTTCATGTGATTCCTTTTTTATGACGGTCATGTATAGTTTAAAAGAATTGCATATCGGTACAATTAGTTAAGGATGTGGTCCATATTTTATAATGGCGTGGGTTTAGGCACATTAACTAAGGGTTTGATCCATAACTCAGAAGCGTATGGGTTCAAACTCCACTGATTGATGTGAGAATTTTGTTGGTGGGTAATATATAATCTCTTTTGAAAATTCTCAAAGAAATTGAAAGGTCTTCTCTGACTCTAGTGGAATACTAGTATCTAACCTCACTTAGCGAGTTCTTTTACCTTTAGAACTGCATATAAGACTCTTATCCAATTCCTTTCACCTGTATCTGAAATCTGTAACTAGCTTCTTGAAGTTCCATCTAGTTCTTCCTTGTGATTTTTTATTTTATTTTTTTGAGCACTCTTCGTGCAGTTCTTTTAGAACTGCATATAGGACCCTTATCCAATTCCTTTCTCCTATATCTGAACTCTGTAACTAGCTTCTTGAAGTTCCATCTAGTTCTTCCTTATGATTTTTTTTTTTTAGCAGAAAGTCTTTGATATTACATTATTAAAAGAATTTTCATATTTATTAATTTTTTTATAACCCATCATCTATCATGTAATTTTTCCACAAAATAAAACTTTAATCCAACTACAAATTCATGTTCAATAATGAAACAATAAATGTGGGTGAATATATAATTCTTATCATAATGTGTTAAATAGGCAGCCACCCTAATACAATTTCCTGGTTTTTACCCACATTTAAAACAAGATATGCATGCGTTAAAAATAAACTTGTATATCTAACAATGGAGTTATTATACAAATTCTAGTCCCAAATTATTGTCATGGTAAACATTACTAGCATTTCCTTCTTGATAAAGAAGCTTTTGAATACCAAATTCTCATGCAAATTGGAGCCCCAACGTTTCCGCTAGCAGCTCTACTTGAACATCTTTGAAATAAAAAATATGCTCGATAATCAATCACTCTTGCGATATATATCAGCATAATTAGATGATAATGTTTGAGATAATGATTAAAAATTGAATCCCGAACCATAACAAACTCATCAGTTTATCGAACATTTGTTACAAGAAATCTAAGTTGGTACAGTCAATATGTGATTTAATTAATCATCTCTAATCTATTAAATTAAATAGTATATTTACTTGAGATTATGTTACTTTCCTATTTTATTCTCCAAAAAAATGACATGTATTATTATTAGCAATTAGTATTTCTCATATTATAAGAAATAATTTTATCT